TAATCAGCTAGTGAGCATAGAAAGAAGAATTAGGGCAACTTTGGCTCTTACTTCTGCTTCTTGGGTGGTTTACGTCATGACTTGAATCACTGTGGGAGGATAGTTATTGTGCTGTAGACAGTAATAACTTGCCATGTCTTCAGGCTGCAGGCTGCTGATCTTGAGAGAATACTGTGTTCCAGATCCACTGCCACTGAACCTTGAGAGGGTCCCATCTGCCAAGTTCTTTGTATAATAGATCAGTTGCTTAGGAGGTTCCCCTGGTTTTTGCTGATACCATGCTAAATTGCTGTAAATGTTCTGACTTGACTGGCATGTGATTGTGACACTGTCTTCCAGAAATGCTGACGGTAAGTATGGCGACTGAGTCATCTGGATGTCACATTTGGCACCTGAGATTGGAAAATTGAAAACAAACTTCCACACAATTAATTCTGTTACAAAAGGACTTTCCCAGAGACCAGTCAGCACTGATCACACAGAATAAATTTCCAATGCTGTATTCCTTACCTCTAAGCCAGAGCAGCAGCAACCCCAGGAGCTGAGTGGGGGCCCTCATATCTGTGCTGTGACCAGTGTGAGGCTGACTCTAGCACAGAGTGTGACCTGACTATCAAGAAATCCTCAGGGCAGTGGGCTGTGCTCTGAGCACATGCAAATCAGCAATGGCTGGGCACAGCTGCAGGGCTGGTCAGGTCAGTGATTTATTAAAACCCAGTGGTTCTCTTCTGTCTCAGATAAGACAGACAGTACATCTTTATTTTTAGGAAATCTGCTCCTCTTTGGAGATTAAAGAGCAGCTCCAGTCTATGGGTTGTACCTTATTTTCATTTCTGCTATTTTAAAAATAGAAATTCCTGTTCAATTTCCCTCAATGGCAGGGACTATGAGATATGGCAAAATTTTCAAAAGTAGATAAACTATTGCATGGTCCTTTCATAGGTATCTGTAAATGTTATTGAGGCCATGCAGCTTTATCTTTTTTGTATCCTGTTAATATCTGAAATTGAATTTTAATTATAACATTTCTCCCTCACATTATTTTTGTTTAAAATACCCCAAATACACCTGTTCCTGCTTGTCCTCAAATTCATGAACTTTTTGTTTACACACACAAACACACTTAAATAACACTCTAGGAACTGTATGTTACATGTACATATGTTTTAAGTTTTGATAATTAGGCTTTGAACAAATAATTGGTTTGTTCTTCCCTTGGCAGAATCTCTCTTCTGTCATGAGTTTTCTTCAGTTGTCTGTACTTCTTTGTGAAGAATTGAGGTTTCTTAGATTTTCATAACCAGCTTTTCAGGTTCATTGGTATTATCCTTGTTTAGCTCACATTTGTGGACATGCTCATGATATTTTGCAGTTATAGTGTTGGATGTTAATAGAAGATACAATCTCAGAGTAAACACCCTGATCTTATGGCTCTTATAATCTTTCTA